CTTTGAGAAAAGATTCTTTGGATATCAAAGAAGAAGACTACTACATGTCATTGTACAATAAAAACCAGGCACAGTTTAATACGTATGCTTCTTAGCCGATATATGCTGCTCCAACCCAAGATTTTCTTGCTTGCCAACCATTCTTTGCTTGTCTGTGGTTCCCCAGTTTGCTGGTCACCCTAAAAATAGTGTTTCCCTATATTTGTATCACGAGGCTAGCACATTTATTTTGTTTTCTTGTCTTATGTATTGACTAATCTCATGGAGTATGTTTCCTATGATTGCTCGGTCTTGAGTATTTCTGGAACATATTGCTTCCATTTCTTGGAATACTGAATGATTAAGATCACGTGCTTTCCTTTTCCTACCAATGTGTTAGATCATGAAAATACTGCTATTATCTGATAGCGTTTATCTTTCTTCTCTCTCTCTCAAAATCTCTTTGTCTCTCTGTCTATTCTTTTCTTTTTCTTCCATTCTCATTTCTTCTCCTTACCTCCCTTCTCCCTTCTCGTCTCTACATCACCATGAATTTCTTTTCTTATTATTTTTACCTTGCAAAAAAGTTACAAAAAGAGTAAGGGTAGTTTTAGATCTAGTTATACCTTTTACCCATTATGTATTTTGGTGCAGTTATGTTCAAGCTGGAACAGTGATGAATAACTATGCACACATTTTTGAGCTGCTCATACGCCTACGGCAGGTACCAAGATGATGCTGTATAAATGCTTGCCTTGCATGGAACTAATTGTTGTTGGTAATTGTTATGTATACATGCATTCATATACGTGTTCGTTTTGATTCTCTAGTTATTACCTCCCAGTCCTCGCAATTGATCTACCATGCCCCTCACTGCATCTTTGTGTCTATAATCTCTATCCAATTTTTTTTCCCTGCAAATATTATTACGTTCAACTACTTTTCCTTGGTCCTTTCTTTTAAGGGGTCTTTACATAAGTAGCCGATCAGATTCCCTGTTTACTTTTTCTAACCGGTATACATAGATTATATACTGCTTATATACGATTATAAACATATTATATATAAAATATATATATTATACATCCGCCTGTTATTTTTAATTTAAGCCGTTTTTTTTAACTTCAACTTATTTCTTGTAATATACATAGAGAGATGCTGTGCAACTTCTTTTATCTTGGCCTATTCTTTTTAATATTCTCCAACTTCTTTTATGTTCTCCTCTTCTTATTCCTATCTCTTTTGTTGCTGTAATTTAATAAAATTTCTCATTATAAGTTTAACCTTCTGGTATTACATTTTTTTTGTGTTGTTAAATTTTTGAAGTGATAACTTTAGATGGTTGGACGTGTATTTGATTATAGCTTAACGTATAGTATATACAGTTTGGTCAAGGGTACCACAAAAGTTATTCTGTACTCAACCAAAGTGTAGGACTGGAGCATAGATTGGATTGCAAAACTTATCTGATGTGCAATCCCGCTCACTAGATGAGCCCTAAAGGTTAACTTAAACATATTTGTTTGCTTGAATTATTTTCTCGCGGCCGAGTTCTTATGTTTTGTTGTGCTGGTCGCTTTTGTGAATATAATTTTGAAGTACCTGACCCTCTTATCATGCTAGGCCCAAGGTATACATTTAGTTTCCTGTCACTTGTTACATGCGGTTAGTATTCACTTTTCTTTTTGGATCTTCCAAATACGCCTCTTGAATAGCGGGGTTGCAATAAAATAACAGTTCAAACACCCGTAATAAAGTAGAAACTTGACGATCTATAACATGCAAGTGTTTGTTTTATTTCAGTCAAGTTTCGTTGTGTTAAACGTTTGATTGATATCTTTTCTTAATTCGGCAGGCAGTTCTTCATCCTTACCTTGTGGTATACTCGAGTACTGCTTTGGCAAAAAATGGGAGCATGGACTCTGGAAATATTGAGCAACCTTGTGGATTATGTCAAGATACAGTGGAAGATCCAGTAGTGAGTTTATGCACCCCTTTTCCCTTCCATCCAAAAACAGGAAGAGAAAGTTCCAGCACCTTTCAGCTTCTCATTTTCTGCCTGAATATTATATGTACAATCGTTAAATGCACTTTTCTTGCATTACATGTTTAAAGTTTTATTTCTTTAATGATTATTGAAGGATCACATTTGTACTAGTTCTTTCTAGCGAAAATGGTGATGATATGGCCAGTGCTTTTACAAAAGCTACTCCATATACTATTTCCATTTTCCAAAAGTCCTCTGAAGTTCATGAATATCTTGGATAGTCTTTCTCCGGTATTACCAAAGACTTTAATAATTTATATATAGTTCTTTTAATTATCTTTGTCCATCTAAAATACTTTATTAAACTCTTCTGATGGCATGCTGTCCTTATCCATTAGACGGTCTTTTTCTGAACTGTGCATCTCTTTTGATTATTGCAGATTACTTCTTGCAACCATGCCTTTTGCAAGACGTGTTTGATAGACTTCGCTGCAAGTGTGGGACAATTGTCATGCCCTCTGTGTTCTGAACTACTTTCAGTTGACTTAAGTGCAAATAATGATAAGGCGGATCAGAATTCTAAACCGACTCTCAAAAGGTTTAGGTCCTCAA